TGTGCGGTATAACGTGTTATAAACATGTAAATGCAGCGGAGTATCCGGGATGTATGAAGGAAGTATGAAAATATGAAATATTAGGAGCAGATGAGCGCCTCTCTGTCTCTCCATCCTAGGACAAGTCTCCCCAGAATGTTTAGCATCTGAACCTCCCTTCGCTGCTTCCTAAGCACCTTGCAGATCTCTAGGGAGCGAGGAGGCGAGAGGGGGAGAGGGGGGGAGGGGAGGAGGGGAGGAGAGGGTGAGGGGGGGGGGGGGATGGGATGGGGGGAGAGAGTGAGAGAGAAGATGGATTTACCCATTATCTTGCCTGCATCCCAATGAGTGCAACACGGACGATCGATAAATCCCAGGAGTGTGTGAGAGAGATCCATACAGACGGGGCTGGTGGGGATGAAGATGAGGACAACACACACACACACACACACACACACACACACACACACACTACATATACTGCACAGCTTAGAAGCAAATGCACACCTTAATTAACAGCAAATTGACCTGTTGTTGTGTGTCATGTTTGGCTGCACAGCCTCCTCCTTCAAATGAGCGTTATTTGTGGGTCTGCTTCTGCTAATTCTGTTTGTAACATCTGACCTCAAGATCTGGAGACGGGTTTAATGCTTAATGCTTAATGCTTAATGCTTAATGCAGGGCTGGACTGTGGACTATTTACTATTTATTTTTTATTTTTATCATAATTTCTCTTTTAGCCGAAGCTACTTACATGTGAACTCAGATCCAGGTAACTGATTTCCTCTCTATCCTACAGAAGAGAGGATTGTGGAGGACCTTCATGTCCCCCCCCCCCCCCCCCCCATCTCTTAATTAATAATCCATGAAGACAAAAAGCATTTAATCTGATCGGCCGGGATTGCTTTGCGGTCCATGAGCAGTTCAAGGCTGTATGACCATGAATGTCTGATTGGGAGACAGAAGAAGAAGAAGAAGAAGAAGAAGAAGAAGATGCCCCCGCTGCTCCGTCTCTGGATGGAGAGACGCTGCAAGGTAATGACGGTAAAACATGGCTGCTCAGTACTGAGCATGACTTTATGGGCGCAGTGAAAACGTATTTGCTGCTGTATTTCAGTGGATGGTAAAACTCCCCCACACACACGCATGCGAACATGCAAATGCAGGATTCGTTTTTTTTTTCTTCTATTTTATGAGGCAGCGAACAAGCGGCCATTTTGTTCTCTTTAACAGCCCAAACGTCGGGCGTCGGCTTTCACAGCTCAACATCGCTCACCGGTTTCGCACCGCATTTTAAAACCCCCTGAGCACCATCTCAGAGCGAGGAGTGAGGTCTCACCATGCGCTGGGCGCCGGGGGGGGGGGGGGGGGGGGGGGTTAGGGAGGGGGGGGGGGGAGGGGGAGGGGGGAGGGAGCCGACAGCGATCAGAGGTTCAAGAAGAGGAACAAGACCAGACTTGTGGATCTCAGACGCTCATTAATGGTGGGCCGCGCTGTGAGAAGATAATCCTTGTGTCAGCATGCTGCGTGTAAACACCATCAGCCAACAGGCGGCCATGCACAAGAGACCCCCGGGGGGGGGGGGGGGGGGGGCACAAAAGATGATGAGGATCTCTCCCTTACCCAGAATGCTTAGCTGTGAAACCTCTCCCCTGTGTCTGTCTCCATACATGGTGATTGAGATGCTTTCCAGGGACGATCCACGCAGCGCTTTAGATCCATCACCTCAATGACCCGTCTCTCATCGCACTTGAATACCGTTCCGCCGCCGCCGCCGCCGCCGCTAGCTCTATGGCTTTTGTGTGGAGTTGCAGGCGGCCCTCATAAGCGGTCTGTATGCAGCGCTGCAGTGGCAGCTGCATCAGGCGCTTTGTGTGTGTGTGTGAGTGAGTGTGTGGCGGCGGCGGTGGATAGACCGGGGGCCGATAGCGACGCTCCGCTTGTCAATGGGTTTCCGCCGGTGGCGCGTGTCCGCCGAGGCTAATGGTTACGTCGATACAGGAAGTGGCCGGAGATCCCCAGAGCATCATGGGAAGATCTATCATCCTTCTTCTGCTCCACCAGTAACCCCACCCCACCCCTCACTCCCCGCCTCCACCACCACCATCGCCATCATTAAACCCGTCATCAGCCATCAACACGGCGGTCTTTTGCGAGGGCCAACCGGGCGGCGGTCCGACCGCAGGGCCGCCCCTTACAGCGAAACAAACAGCCCTGAACTAACGGGCAATGAGCTGCTGAGGTGGAGATGTATTTATTTTGAATATGTGTAAATGCATTTTGTATGTTTTCGTTCCTTGCTGGAGGTTGGAGAGCGTTGTCGTGTTTCTAGCGGCACTATGTGTGTGTGTGACAAGACAGGAGATGTAGAGCTACACGCAAAGTAGCGCTAATCATGTGATCAACCGCATTTGTCTTTTTTTTTTTAATCTCTGATTATTCCTCCTCATTATTATGTGCAGTCTGAGTCCCACGTTACAGAGAGCCGTGTCATAAAAGGTGTGTAATTCGGTGTGGTGAAACCTCAGGTGATTATTCACGAGATAACGCTAACGTTTCCTTCCCCCGAATCTGATAGCAGCGTTCTCACAACGCCGCCATGTTGGGGACTCAAACCAACGCACACTTCGGTGACCTGTAGCTGATGAGTGTTCCCATTAAGGCCGTATCTCTGACTTCATCCAGCGAGCAGCGGGTCTTGTTCTGTTTCTGTGTTACAAGCAACGGCCTTCAACTAGATGCTGGACGAGCGGTTATCAGTGACCGTCCTCCACCTTATTTACTGGAACACATCTGAAGGTGATTTTGCTTTCCGACAACAAAACAAAACAATCGTTCTGCAGCCGTTGCTTGCGTGTTCATGCACATACATTACGGTCTGTGTGTTTTGGAGCTGATAGCAAATCCATGTTGTTGATGAAATCACACCCATGCCTCTTTCCCTCTCTTATATAAATGTATTCTACACTGCAGCTTGATGCCCCCCCCCCCCCCCCCCCCCCGTCTCCCCCCCCCCGTCTCCCCCCCCCCGTCTCCCCGTCTCCCTTTCTCCCCTCTCTCTCTCCCCCTCTCTCCCCCCCCCTCTCTCTCTCTCCGGCTCGCTCTCCCGTCTCCCATCTGGAAACCCAAAGTGAAATCGATTACGAGGGCTGCTTTATGTTCCGAGTCAAATTAATTCCCTTTTAAATATTTTATCTTCGGTCATTGCTGCTGCTGCTGCTGTTGGCATGGGTCGTTTCCTGCCTCGCTAACCTTGAAGGACCTTCAGCGGCAGCGTGGAGAGCAGCGCCACGGCCTCCAGCGCAGTTAACGCCGGTCCGACCGCTCCCCCTGGTGGCCATCCGGTGCAATGACTATTAAAAACGTCTGCCTGGCAAACGTTTGTTACATTTCTTATGTACTTATTTATAGTGTAACAGTGTTAATTGTATGTATGTATGTATGTATGTATGTATGTATGTATGTATGTATGTATGTATGTATGTCCTATTTATAATTAGGTAAGATATATATTTTTAAATATGATATTGTCATGGTCTGCCTCTGTTCCCCGTGTTTCTGTTTATGGTTTCCTGTTTTATTTTGGTAGTTCACCCCTCATGTGTCATGTTTTGAGTTCACTTCCTGTCTTTGTGTTTACTTCCTGCCCTTGTAATTTCCCTGATTAGTTTCACCTGCTCCTTAGTTCACCTGCACCTCGTTCCCTCGTCAGCCACTCCCTTTATATCCTGGTTCACATGTTTTGTTCTTGGTCGGTTCGTTCCCCAGTTACTCGGTTTTCTGTTCCTGTGTTTCCTGCTGTTTGTGTCCTTGTCTACCTACCTACCTACCTACCGGTCTACCTGCCAGTCTATCATTACCTGTCTACCATTACCCGTAAGTCAATTTATTAAATTCCCTGTAAGGTCATCCTGCCTCCTTCTCCGTCTCTGCATCTGTGTTCCCGGTGACCGTTGTAACAGATATATAACATAAATATAAAACTATAGGCCTATATTATATTGCTTGAATATTATTAGATATTAGATATATTTTCTTTGACTTCAACTTAAACCAAGTAGCCCAATACATATTTGTTGTTAATAGGAGTGAATAGTGTTCTAGGGTACACCTGATTTTTGTTTATTTGTCTTCATTGACTCCTGTGTGTGTTAGGGTTGTTTTCAGATTTATCACAAATTATGTCACACGATACTGTCAGTATTTACTATGGCAACCACATCATGTACAGAAGAATAGAAACATGGACTAAAGAATATGATAGGATAGAACAGGGTATAATATATAGAACAGACCATAAGAGAATACAAATGAATGATGGATAGAAAATGATGGAAAAAGAGAAAGTAGAATAGATACAACAGAATAGATAGACTAGTGCAGAACAGCTTATTTTCGTAGTTAACCAAGCCTGTGCTTTCCAAAATACTGTGTTCATGTTCTGGATAACGGTTTAATTTACTACTGTAAAATCTGACATGGACATCGTCATTTGAGACATGAGTTTATATGTAGTATGTATGTGTATATATATATGTAATTTGTCCGAGAACAGCATATAAACTGGAGATAGAGATCAGTATTTTACTATAGCAACCAATATTGTACATGCGGCACATCAAATTTCTCTCTAGATTGACTGGAGTCACTGCAATGATTGTCCTGTAACAGAGTACAGTTAATGGCAAAAGGTTTTTGTTTGATTATACCATAGATATATATATTACATACATGTATTAGACTGAAATTGATTAATTTAGAAGCCTAAAAATGTTTTTTTTTATTTTTGTTTTTTTCTACAATTGAAATCATTAAGTGTTAAAATAGGGATAGGACTAGATAAGCATTGCTTCTTCCTATTCCATTTCGGACTGTTGTTATTATTATCATTGTTATTATTATTATTTTTTGTTCTTTGTTTTCTCTTTTAATGGTACGGAATAAAGTTTATAAAAAAACAATAAAATAAAAAAGTACAGTAAACTGTTGTAATGGATTAGTACTTATGTCTAACATGAACAAGTCGTCGGCAGGATTTGAACCTGCGCAGGAAGAGCCCAACATTTAGCATGTCACAATTCTGTCCAGCCTTAACCACTCGGCCACAACAAC